AAACCCCATGGCTTAAAATATTACTGTAGAAGTAAAAATGAGAATTAAAAATAAATAGTTAAAATAGAAACTTTTTTTTAAATAGCATCAAATCTATTCATACCTTAAATAAAACAATAATTATAATAAAATGACAGAGGCTACTTAAAGTTAAACTCACTTAAGCAGCGCAGGAGGAGATCCGAAGCTTAAGGTAAACACAAGTCTGTAGAAGGAATACACCACAGCTTCAATGATTAATAGTGCAGTCTAGATTAATAGTGCCTACCCCAAGGACATACCTAAATCTGGAGGGTACAGTTACTCGCTTCCAGGCTCTCCTTAACATAGGATTATTCATAGAACTAACAATGGTATTATTTATGAAGATCAGGATGACTTTCTTAAAAAAATGGCTAAGAAACACGAGGTATGCATACTTTCATACTTGCTCAAATATATTTTAGTATTTGTAAGACAAAGGCTGGAATGCTCCATTAGGCTAGCCGTACCTGTCTCTAGGTTAGTTTGCCAATGTAGCTCAAGCCTTCGAAAGTTTAAAGGAAAGTTTGCCTAACGTTTCACAATTGAATACAAACACATCCGATATTGAAACTCTAAGAAATCTAAGAACAATCAAAAGGCTATACGGAGGAGATTACTCGAACAACAGAAAGACTAAGTTTGACAGTCACATGCCTGCTGTTGAAAAGACTGAGACCGTTCACATGTACTTGGATGATAACACTATCTATGGAGGTGTAATCGGAATGACCAGGACAGTAGATGCAGGCAGAGTCATGAATATTCTCAAGGATAATAAAGATGAGATAACAAGGCTAAAGTTTCCAAATAGCAAGGCATACGAGCAGGAAAGGACAAATAATCAGTTCAAGTCAGTGCATAGAAATCATAAGCAGCATGGTCATCATCATGACAAGAGTCATAGTGGTGCTGGAGGAGGCTACTAATCTGGTGCTGGGGTAGTAAATATTTCAAGCAAGATTGGAAATGACATAGGTCACAACGACAACAAGGATCCTAAGTACTTCAAGGGAATGAATAATAGAATACTCAGTCCAAGTTTAAAGAGACTTATAATGACTGAGACTGATGGAAACTATATATTGAAATAAGAAATCTAAGATAGTATGAAGAGAGTCAAAGCTGCCAAGAAAGGCTTCGGTCTGTATGCTATCAGTCCCAGACATGATCCCAGCTTCTTTTTGCCAAATAAGAAGGATTATTTCACAGCAAAGAACAGCCCATTGGCTATACGAAAGCCAAGCATTTTGCTTGATGATGCATTGAGTTCAAATCGTAAGAAAAAGAAGATGGTTATATCATAGGACAAATCACGAATCATCTAGCAATAACAATACAGCACAGATCCCTTAGTTAATAGGCAAAGAGAGCCAATTAGAGCTCTCTCCTCAAAACTAAACGATGCCTATTTAGGCACAATTACTGACATGGCTGAAAACAGTACATTCATAACTAATGCCAAACTCTACCAAACCAACACAATCATTGGCGGCTCTCCTAAGAACAAGATAAACTATTCGAACAATAACAGTAAACTTAACAATACAACAATAGGCATGGGTATCACGAATGATATGAGAGGTTCTCCTAACATCAGCATTACTGAAGAATTGATGCAATCACTACCTAGAAGCACGCTACTCTAGAATTCTCAACGAGCCATAACTAAAAATACTGACTACAAGAACTATCAAGTGGATGATGGGATGCCAAGGATACCTTAAAGATATAACGAGCTCTCACTTAAACACAAACATAGACTCTCTGAAATTGTAGATTCCAAGAATAAGAAATAGTACTAAAAGATATCTGAGCAGGCTAGAAAAGAAAAGTAGGAGAAGAAGATTCAAAAGGATTAGGTGGTGCTCTCAGCCATAGACTCAAAGCCTATCAAGCCCTATCTGAAACTTATACATTTAAAAGACTATCAGTACTTCTAACTGTCAGGCAAGACCTAGTAAGATACCAAGGAGAAGAAGCCAGTTAATCCAATAGACACTAACAACAATAATGAAAAGAAGCCAGAGAATAAATCTAGACTTAATTACTACACAAAACTTGAGAAAGATCTAGACTAGCAACTTAAGAACATTCAGGAAACATATGACAATTTGACGAGGTAACAATAATAGCAACAGGCAAATACGATAACATATGGCAAGAATGCTCAAATGGGTACTTAAAACTTGTCTAATACAGCAAAGAAAAAGTAGTTGGAGATTCATTAGTCCTCAAACTTAGTGGAAAGGAGGCGAGTTGGGATAGCTAAAAGACAGACTATGAATACTCTGGGGTCAATTTCTGCAAAATTCAATAGTAATAACACTATCAACGATAATCTTATGCAAAGTCTAAATGAAAGTGGAGTAGGAGGGTAAGTTGGAACTAATTTGGCCATTATGAGACCTTCGAATAGGCTAAATATAAATACCAATGAACTTGCTCAGAAAGTCAATTTTGAAGAAGAAACAATTAGAAAAGAGTAGATGCAATACTTGTCAACATACTTTGATGAAGAGTTTCTGAAAGAGCTCTATAAAGAGAAGGGCACTTTCCTAAAACTGTATCAGCTTTGCTCAAATAAGCAGGATGCAATGTTGAACTAGCAGATCCTGTTAAGCCAGCCAAACTAAAACAAATCTTCAAGAGCTTCTCTTGGATTTATGAACACACCAACTTCACCTCGCAAAGTAGACGGAATCAAATCACTGGGACTCAAGCAGCAAGCCTCTTCAAGTTCTAATCCTTAAGAGACTTTAATTAGTTCCAAAGAGGAACAGAACTAGCTTGCCATTGGCTAATTGAAATTCCTAGTCAACCTACTTGAGGAAATGCTTAACCCCGTTTAGGAGGAAATGGTTGAACTAGACAGTGTATATCAATTGAAGAACCTGATTAAGAAATTCTATGTTAGGAAAAATGAGATTTGTGATGACTTCATAGATAGATTAGATGCCATTTTAATTGAAAGACCATACTTTATGCAAGCCAAAAAGGAAAAGTTCTTCTAGTCATATGAGTAAAAGGTAAGCTAATCTAAGTTTAAATACTAATATTTTTTTAGGGATTGCTATTAGGAGCAAGGAAAATAAGAAATGTCAACGATGAAATAGAGAGAATTAGAATAGAATGTGAACTAGACAGAGTAGAGAATTTTAAGTTCATATCTAACTAAGGAACTATGATGTATTATGATCTCTGCCAAAAATTGGTGGATGCTAAATTAGACCAGAGATTACCCTGCTAGTATGTGATGGACTATATGAAAAACCTACTTGAAAAAGGATAGTTCTTCCTCTAAGGCGAGCTTGAATCTGTCTCTTAGTTCCTCATAGAGCATAACTCACTTAATGAAGATGCCAAAAAGTAAGTCAAATGATTTATTCTTAAACATTCATAATAGGTGCTTGGCAATAATTGCCAAAGAACTCAAGCTGAGTTATGATAAAGATGAGCCTACCACAATGAAGATGCATAACTTTACCTCATAGCTACTAAACAATGTTTATCCTATTTGATAATCTATAGTACTTAAAGGAAAATTCCAGCTAATTAAGATTGAAATAGTGGAAGTGGAATTGATTAACATTTATTTATATTATTTAATTTCATTAAATCTTTGTAAAATTTACAGGTGGGGTTTTGGGGTTTTGGGG